CACACACACACACACACACACACACACACACACACACACACACACACTCTCTCTCTCTCACAACTTAGCAGGGTCGGAGGGAGCACTCCTTAGTCGCAGCTACTTGGGAAGCGGAAGCAGGAGAATCGTGTGAATCTGGGAGGCGGAGGTTGCAGCGAGGCAAGGTTGCAGCAAGCCGAGATCGTGCCACTGGACTCCAGCCTGAATGACAGAGCAAGATGCTCTCAAAATTAAAAAAAAAAAAAGTCTTTGAATAACTTAGCAGCGACCCCATCTTGAGTATCTATGACACTTCAGCTAAGTTCTAGTAAACAATAAAAACACCCAAACCAAAAGAAATGCCTGTAACAGCTGCCAATGACGCTCTTTTCAACTCAGTCTACTAAAAAAATCTACTTTTCTCATCCGAGTCAATAAAAAGTGAGCTTTGATTTAAAGGAACCTAGCTGATACCTGCATTTTGTAATTGCAAACCTAATAAAAGGCAAAATACTCCTGGAACCTAACTGCAGTAAATGCCTAGCAACATAGAAAAAGTAAAAACTAGAAAGAACAAATGGGAACACCAAGAATTGTGTGTCAAAATGTCTTCTACATACACTCGAATTAAATAATTCCTATCAGCTCAAAAGCAGACAAACAGCAGTGCTCTGAAAAATTACATGGGGTGGAAGCCTGCCCCTCCCTTGCTGTGGGAGGACTGTTTGGTTCCATGAAACTGAAGAGTAGTTTGCACATTATAAAAAATTAATTGCTAATCTTCTAACTCAGCCGCCTCCACGAACAAGATAGTATTGTGTTGCAGCCTCAGAAGTTAAATGCTTCCTCTCCCAAGTAATTACTACTCTTATTCTACCTTGCAGAGAGCCTCCTCCCACTGAAAACCAAATCCCAGGACCTGTCAGGAGGTGCTTGGCTCCCAGCAAAGGCAAGCAGGTCAGCCCTCGGCAGGCTGGTAGGTCCGTCTTGCCAAAGTTCAGCTGGGAGCCAGCAGGTCTGAAAGAGAAGCTATCAGCTGATGGGCTTCATGCCCACACATGTGCTGAGTTCTGCTCAGGCTAAATGGATGGCAGCTCCCAACAGATTCCCTTCAGTGCCAGCATCGGGCTGATCAGCTCACAAAGATGCAGGATCCAGCTGCATGGCACCATGTGGCCAGCCAGATGGATGGAGGTTATTGAGGGCAGAGCCCACCATGCTCCAGGATCAGCCAAGCATTCCAACAAGGCCACAAATTCACTGGATGCCCTTGTGCCAGTCAGCCCCTCTCAGAACCCAGCTTAGTGCCCAGGGTTATGAGGAAGAACAAATGAGATGCTGATTATCAATGGGCTTTGTAAACTAAACAGGGGCTCTATGGAGCAACCACCAGCATGAACAGTGCCATCCTGTCAGCAAAGTGAAGACCCTCTTGAGAACAGGGTCTGTCTTTAAACAAACTCTAGAGGCTCTTATAAGCCACCTGTTTCCAAACCAGAGAAAAAGTATGGCCTTCATTCCCACCAGCATCATTCACATCCAACAAGGCTGTCTCCAACTAACATACTTCTGCAAAATGCTCCTGCATCATCTTCCAACTATCACACCTAAGGAGGAACCCCTATTGTTTCCATTGTTTAAAGCTGTCTGTGTGTGGGCACTACATAAGCAGACTGTGCTGTGCTCATCACGGCGCCGCCAGAGCCAGCCCAAAGCCTGGCAAATGGCAGGTCTCCAAATAAACGTTGAAATGAACAAACA